ACTGATGTTGTAGCACCTGGAGTGCTACTGATGTTGTAGCACCTGGAGTGCTACTGATGTAACACCTGGAGTGCTACTGATGTTGCAGCACCTGGAGTGCTACTGATGTTGCAGCACCTGGAGTGCTACTGATGTTGTAGCACCTGGAGTGCTACTGATGTAACACCTGGAGTGCTACTGATGTTGCAGCACCTGGAGTGCTACTGATGTTGTAGCACCTGGAGTGCTACTGATGTAACACCTGGAGTGCTACTGATGTTGTAGCACCTGGAGTGCTACTGATGTAACACCGGAGTGCTACTGATGTTGCAGCACCTGGAGTGCTACTGATGTTGTAGCACCTGGAGTGCTACTGATGTAACACCTGGAGTGCTACTGATGTTGTAGCACCTGGAGTGCTACTGATGTAACACCTGGAGTGCTGCTGATGTTGTAGCACCTATAGTGCTACTGATGTAACACCTGGAGTGCTGCTGATGTTGTAGCACCTATAGTGCTACTGATGTAACACCTGCAGTGCTACTGATGTGACACCTGCAGTGCTGCTGATGTTGTAACACCTGCAGTGCTACTGATGTAACACCTGCAGTGCTGCTGATGTTGTAACACCTGCAGTGCTACTGATGTAACACCTGCAGTGCTACTGATATAACAACCTGCATGCTACTGATGTAACACTGCAGTGCTACTGATTGTGAACACCTGCAGTGCTACTGATGTAACACCTGCAGTGCTACTGATGTGACACCTGCAGTGCTACTGATGTAGCATCTGCAGTGCTACTGATGTAACACCTGCAGTGCTACTGATGTGACACCTGCAGTGCTACTGATGTAACACCTGCAGTGCTACTGATGTGACACCTGCAGTGCTACTGATGTAACACCTGCAGTGCTACTGATGTGACACCTGCAGTGCTACTGATGTAGCATCTGCAGTGCTACTGATGTAAACACCTGCAGTGCTACTGATGGTGACACCTGCAGTGCTATGATGTAACACCTGCAGTGCTACTGATGTGACACCTGCAGTGCTACTGATGTAACACCTGCAGTGCTACTGATGTAACACCTGCAGTGCTACTGATGTAACACCTGCAGTGCTACTGATGTGACACCTGCAGTGCTACTGATGTAACACCTGCAGTGCTACTGATGTAACACCTGCAGTGCTAACTGATGTAACACCTGCAGTGCTACTGATGTGACACCTGCAGTGCTACTGATGTAAACACCTGCAGTGCTACTGATGTACACCTGCAGTGCTACTGATGTAGCATCTGCAGTGCTACTGATGTAACACCTGCAGTGCTACTGATGTACACCTGCAGTGCTACTGATGTAACACCTGCAGTGCTACTGATGTGACACCTGCAGTGCTACTGATGTAACACCTGCAGTGCTACTGATGTAACACCTGCAGTGCTACTTTATGTAACACCTGCAGTGCTTAAATGATGTAGACACCTGCAGTGCTACTGATGTAACACCTGCAGTGCTACTGATGTAAACACCTGCAGTGCTACTGATGTAACACCTGCAGTGCTACTGATGTAACACCTGCAGTGCTACTGATGTAACACCTTGCAGTGCTACTGATGTGACACCTGCAGTGCTACTGATTTTAACACCTGCAGTGCTACTGATGTACACCTGCAGTCTATGATGTGACACCTGCAGTGCTACTGATGTAGCACCTGCAGTGCTACTGATGTAACACCTGAGTGCTACTGATGTGAAAACCTGCAGTGCTACTGATGTAACACCTGCAGTGCTAAATGATGTGACACCTGCAGTGCTACTGATGTAACACCTGCAGTGCTACTGATGTGACACCTGCAGTGCTACTGATGTAACACCTGCAGTGCTACTGATGTAACACCTGCAGTGCTACTGATGTAACACCTGCAGTGCTACTGATGTAACACCTGCAGTGCTACTGATGTAACACCTGCAGTGCTACTGATGTAACACCTGCAGTGCTACTGATGTAACACCTGCAGTGCTACTGATGTAACACTGCAGTGCTACTGATGTGACACCTGCAGTGCTACTGATGTAACACCTGCAGTGCTACTGATGTACACCTGCAGTGCTACTGATGTAACACCTGCAGTGCTACTGATGTAACACCTGCAGTGCTACTGATGTAACACCTGCAGTGCTACTGATGTGACACTGCAGTGCTACTGATGTAACACCTGCAGTGCTACTGATGTAACACCTGCAGTGCTACTGATGTAACACCTGCATGCTACTGATGTGACACCTGCAGTGCTACTGATGTAACACCTCAGTGCTACTGATGTAACACCTGCAGTGCTACTGATGTGACACCTGCAGTGGCTACTGATGTGACACCTGCAGTGCTACTGATGTGACACCTGCAGGGCATACTGATGTAGCATCTGCAGTGCTACTGATGTAACACCTGCAGTGCTACTGATGTGACACCTGCAGTGCTACTGATGTAACACCTGCAGTGCTACTGATGTGACACCTGCAGTGCTACTGATGTGACACCTGCAGTGCTACTGATGTACACCTGCAGTGCTACTGATGTGAACACCTGCAGTGCTACTGATGTAACACCTGCAGTGCTACTGATGTAACACCTGCAGTGCTACTGATGTGACACCTGCAGTGCTACTGATGTAACACCTGCAGTGCTACTGATGTAACACCTGCAGTGCTACTGATGTGACACCTGCAGTGCTACTGATGTAACACCTGCAGTGCTACTGATTAACACCTGCAGTGCTACTGATGTGACACCTGCAGTGCTACTGATGTACACCTGCAGTGCTACTGATGTAACACCTGCAGTGCTACTGATGTGACACCTGCAGTGCTACTGAGTAAAACCTGCAGTGCTACTGATGTAACACCTGCAGTGCTACTGATGTGACACCTGCAGTGCTACTGATGTTGTAGCATCTGATGTGTTTCTTCACTACTGTCGACTGAAGACACATATGCAACAGTTGGGTATCTTTATTGTTGAAACGTTTCGCCTACACAGTAGACTTCTTCAGTCAGATACAGAGGCAGCAGGTATAGTAGTGAAATAAAGATGATGTAATCAGTCCATCAACATTGGAGAAAAAGTATTTGAGGTAATCAGTCCCTCAGCCTGGATTGATGACGTCGACTCCAGGCCGAGGGACTGATTACCTCAAACTACTCCTATTCCTCCACCATTCACCTCTAGTGGACTGAGGAAACCCACTCGCTGGCGAAACGTTTCCACAATAAAGATACCCAAGCGTTGCACATCAACTTTGTCGGTTCTCTGAAACGTTTCGCCCGGAGGGTCAAGTTTTCAAGAATTCTTGAAAGCACACATGTCTTATCAATGTTAACGAAGTCACCCCTGGCTGTCACCTCCCTCGCTTCGTTATACACAAGTACGTTGTTGTTGTTGTTGTTGTTGTTGTTGTTGTTGTAAATACATTAATAAGTAGTCCCCCCCAGTGTCTTCCTGTTGTATGCTAATACATCATACAACTGCAGAAATACAATAGACAATACAGGTAAATCGTAATTCTCCTTATATGGGCTAGTTTGTGCTCCCCTCACCCCCTTTCTCCCTCACCCTTGTTTCTCCCCTCACCCCGTTCTCCCTCCCCCTTTCTCCCCTATCCTTTCCCTGCCTCCCCTCACTGTCCTCTTGCCTCTTTCCCCAACCCCCTTCCTCCTCCCCTAACCTACTTTTTCCCTCCCATACTTTCCCCCTCCCCTAAAACTTTCCTCCCCCTCCCTTGCCACTTCCCCCTCCCATTAGATTGCAGACTCAGGGAGTTCCCTGTTCTGTTCCACTTATACGACCTTCCACAACATATCCCCTCCCTTCCTACCCAACATATCCTCCCTCTCTCAACATATTCCCCCTTATACCTCTTTCAATATATTTCAATTCCCCCCTCAATATATTCACTCCTTCACCTCTACAACGTTTCTCTCCCCTCCCCTTTCTCTTCCCAACATATTGACCCCCATCCTCAATATACCCCCCTCCCTCCCCTCCACCCTGTAAAGAGACCATCAGGAGGTGGATCCAAAATTCAGCATGGCATCGATCTGGGCCGTCAACTGGCACCCCCGTCTGGCACTCCCCTCTCTGCCAGCCCCGTCTGGCACTCCCCTCTCTGTCACCCCCACCTAGCACGCCCCTCTCCTGAAACCCCCGCCTAGAACTCCCCTCTCTGGCACCCCCGTCTGGCACTCCCCTCTCTGGCACCCCCGTCTGGTGCTCCCCTCTCTGGCATCCCCGTCTGGCACTCCCCTTTCTGACAACCCCGTCTGGCACGTTCCTCTCTGACACCCCCGCCTAGAACTCCCCTCTCTGGCACTCCCCTCTCTGGCACCCTGCCTGGCACTCCCCTCTCTGGCATTCCCGTCTGGTACTCCCCTCTCTGGCACCCCCGTCTGACACTCCCCGTCTGGCACTCCCCTCTCTGGTAATCCCCGCCTTGCATTTCCCTCTGGTACCCCTGGCCTGGCACTCCCCCTCTGACACTCAGCCTGGCACTCTTATGGCACGTCCCGTCTGGCACACCCTTCTCTAGCACCCCCTGCAGCTCCTCTCTGGTACCCCACCTGGCATTCCCCTCTGTGGTATCCCACCTGGCACTCATCTCTTTGGCACCCCCGCCTGGCACTCCCCTCTCTGGCATCCCACCTGGCAGTCCCCTCTCTAGTACCCCACCTGACACTCCCCTCTTTGGAACCCCCGCCTGGTACTCCCCTCTGGTACCCCCTACCTGGCACCCCCGCCTGACACTCCCCTCTGGCAGCCCAACCTGACACCCCCCACCCACCTGGCACCCCCTGCACCCTGCTGACACCCCCGATCCCTGGCACCCCCGACCCCCTGGCACTCCCCTCTGGCACCCCTGCCAGACACCCCACCTGGCACCCCCGCCTGACACCCCACTTGGCACTCCCACCTAACACCTCCCTCTCTAATTATAATTAATAATTTCCACTCAATACTTTACCCAGAGTTTCGAGCAGTCATCAACATCAGTTTCTTTCCGTTTCAACCCTATCTACTGCACGAGGCGGGAGGCTGGGCAGTAGTTTACCTGCAAACAATAAAAATACTTATGAGAATCTGGACTAAAGTAAACTCAGTGTACATATCTATATTTAGTTGGATTAGGCTAAATTAAATTACGCTTGTTATAAATTTGGGTAAGTTTTCTAAGGTTCTTTTGGTACAAAATTATTAAGTTTTACATTAACACAAATGAAAAAAATATATATGTAAACTGAAGATTGAGACACTTATGCACCATATGGGAATCTTTATTTAGGAAACGTTTCGCCACACAGTAGCTTCATTATGAAGAGGTTTCGGTCCACAATGAACCATTATGAAGAGGTTTCGGTCCATAATGAAACATTATGAAGAGGTTTCCGTCGGTAATGGAACGTTATCAAGATGTTTCAACCCCCAACGAACGTTATCAGTATGTTTCGGTTCCTAATGGACCATTATCAAGATGTTTCGGTCTGCTCTAGACATTCAAGATCCCCCTACTATACTGTATATTGTGATATATACACCAATTTGTGTATATATCAAAATATACATCAATCTATATATACATCACTGACTGGTGTATATATTTGTGTATAATAATGTAAATAAATGCTTTACAAAACCGACAACATTTGAGTATTTTTGTGGAAACGTTTCGCCACACAGTGGCTTCTTCAGTCCAATGCAGAAAAAAGGTGGAATAAGAGTAGCAGTTTGAGGTAATCAGTCCCTCAGCCTTGAGTCGATCAATTTTGACAACTTTGTTTTAAAGGTTCTCATTATCCATCCTATCATTTTCCTCGGAGATGTGATAGTGACACTGTTGCCGTGTTCCTCCCTTAAGTCAATGTGACCTGACCTGACTAGGTTGGGTGCATTGGCTTAAGCCGGTAGGAGACTTGGACCTGCCTCGCATGGGCCAGTAGGCCTTCTGCAGTGTCCCTTCGTTCTTATGTTCTTCTTATGTTCTTATGTTCTTGTGAGCCTTGAAGGTGAGATCCTCTGACACTGACACTCCTAAGTCCTTCACACTACTTTTCCACTCTATTGTGTAGTTAAGAGCACGTAGTATACTCCCTCCAATTTTCCATAACGGAGTAGTTGAAATCCGTTCTCACTGAACATTATAATGTTCTCCGTTACCCACTGCAAAACTTGGGTTATATAAGCTTGGAGATTTACCGTGTCCTCAGTGGACGACGCACTCACGCTGATTCTAGTATAGTCTGCAAAAGATGACACGGTTTACATCTCTGTCTGTCTGATATGAGGATGAGGATGAGGATCAGGGTGCAGGCGAGTGCTGTGCCTTGTGAAACAGAGCTTTTCAATGTGGCAGACTCCGACTTAACTCTGTTTACCATATCTCTGTGTTCGATTGGTTAGAAAGTTGAAGATTCATGTGCCCACTTTTCCAGTTATTCCTTTATCATGTATTTTGTGTGATATTACATCATGATCACACTTGTCGAAGGCTCTTGTAAAGTCTGTGTATACTACATCTGCATTGTGTTTGTCCTCCAGTGCATCCAAGACCATGTCATAGTGATCCAGTAGTTGTGAGAGGCAGGAGCGACCATGCAAGACCATGTCATAGTGGTCCAGTAGTTGTGAGAGGCAGGAGCGACCATGCAAGATCATGTCATAGTGATCCAGTAGTTGTGAGAGGCAGGAGCGACCATGCAAGACCATGTCATAGTGGTCCAGTAGTTGTGAGAGGCAGGAGCGACCATGCAAGACCATGTCATAGTGATCCAGTAGTTGTGAGAGGCAGGAGCGACCATGCAAGATCATGTCATAGTGGTCCAGTAGTTGTGAGAGGCAGGAGCGACCTGCTCTAAACTCAAGTTGCCCTGGGTTGTGCAACTGTTGGGTATCCAAGTGGTTGGTGATCTTGATTTTTAGAACCCTTCCAAAGATTTTTATGAAGCGGGACGCGAGTGCTATTGATCTATAATTCTTTGCTATTGCCTTGATGCCACCTTTGTGGAGTGGGGCTATATCTGCTGTTTTTAGTGGCTGGGGTGACCCCCGTGTCTAGGCTCCCTCTACAAAGAATACTAACAGCACGCGGAAGGTGTTTCTTGCAGTTTTTAATGAACACGGATTTTCTCGAGTCTGGGTCTGGGACTGAGAGCATGGGCATGTTGTCAATGGCTTTCTCAAAGTCCGGTGAGTTAGGGTTATGTTAGAAATTTGGCATACATTGACAAGGTTTTAAAGCTCATTCATGAAAAATTAATTTGTATTGTCGATCTTCAGACTGGTTAATGGCTCGCTAAACAAAGTCGTACTGAGACTTCAGTATCTCACTCATTTCTTTGTCACCTGTATAAGTTCCATCTTGTCTGAGCAATGGCCCGATACTAGATGTGGTTTTTGCCTTGTTTTTGGCATACGAAAATAAATATATTTGAGTTTCTATCTCATTAATGCGCTTAGCTCCTCCTGTCTCTCCTGGATCTTGTATGAATCATTTAACTTAAGCTCGATATTCTCCACTTCCCTCGTCAGTGTTTCCTTCTGTATTTCAAAAAATCTGGTCCCCTTGAGAAGCTCAGTGATTCTTCGCCTTCTCCAGTAGAGGGAGCATCTCTTTCCAGTTTACTTCTGGTAGTTACATTTTCCTGACGAGCAAAACAGCACGAGCGCAAGATAAGTCGCTACGGAAGCAATTTTCCCGAAACAGACTAATAAAGATCAACAACAACAGGTACGGCCATTTTCCTGAGGGAAAAAACACCATTTAAGAGGGAAACATTTCTACGGTGCCAATTTCCTTAAATAGTATAGCCATCTTCCTGACAAAGCACACGAAGGGAAAAAAGATAGTTGACTACACCTTCAATTTTCCGTAATAAAAACTGCACTGGTACCCGACGTGTGGTTTATGAGGTGTCTGATGATAGGACAAAAATATTTCGGCCGCAGGACTAATTTTTGTTTTTTCAAAACTTCGAGTCAGAAATTATTGGTGGTAAAAGTTGTCAAAAGTGTGAGGTGATCAAGAGTGCTTTGGGGCAGGTGGCGGCCACAACTACTGAATGATTCAGTAAGTCTGAAACCTGTGGCTTGCTCTCTCTCTGCTGGCCCGGTCCACTACTGCTACTCTTGCTGGTGTTTCATTGTGTTACTGCTGCTGGTGGCCCGGTCCATTATTGTTCCTGCTGGTGGTGGTGGTGGTGGTCTAGTTCACGGTTACTGCTGTTGGTGGTCTAGTTCACTGTTCCTGGTGGCGGTGGTGGCCCCGGCTCATTGTTACTGCTCCTTCTGATAGTAACGTCGATTGTTACCGTTACTGGTCTGGTCCACTGTTACCGCTACTGGTCTGGTCCACTGTTACTGCTACTGGTCTGGTCCACTGTTACCGCTACTGGTCTGGTCCACTGTTACCGCTACTGGTCTGGTCCACTGTTACCGCTACTGGTCTGGTCCACTGTTACCGCTACTGGTCTGGTCCACTGTTACTGCTACTGGTCTGGTCCACTGTTACCGCTACTGGTCTGGTCCACTGTTCCCGCTCTGGTCTGGTCCACTGTTACCGCTACTGGTCTGGTCCACTGTACCGTACTGGTCTGGTCCACTGTTACCGTAACTGGTCTGGTCCACTGTTACCGCTACTGGTCTGGTCCACTGTTACCGCTACTGGTCTGGTCCACTGTTACCGCTACTGGTCTGGTCCACTGTTACGTACTGGCCTGGTCCACTGTTACCGCTACTGGTCTGGTCCACTGTTACGCTATGGTCTGGTCCACTGTTACCGCTACTGGTCGGGTCCACTGTTACTGCTACTGGTCTGGTCCACTGTTACCGCTACTGGTCTGGTCCACTGTTACCGCTACTGGTCTGGTCCACTGTTACCGCTACTGGTCTGGTCCACTGTTACCGCTACTGGTCTGGTCCACTGTTACCGTACTGGTCTGGTCCACTGTTACTGCTACTGGTCTGGTCCACTGTTACCGCTACTGGTCGGTCCACTGTTACCGCTATGGTCGTCACGTCTGCTATGGTCTGGTCCACTGTTACCGCTACTGGTCTGGTCCACTGTTACCGCTACTGGTCTGGTCCACTGTTACGCTACTGGTCTGTCCACTGTTACCGCTACTGGTCTGGTCCACTGTTACGCTACTGGTCTGGTCCACTGTTACCGCTACTGGTCGGTCCACTGTTACCGCTACTGGTCTGGTCCACTGTTACCGCTACTGGTCTGGTCCACTGTTACCGTACTGGTCTGGTCCACTGTTACCGCTACTGTTGGTCCACTGTATACCGCTACTGGTCTGGTCCACTGTTACCGCTACTGGTCGGTCCACTGTTACCGCTACTGGTCGGGTCCACTGTACCGCTACTGGTCTGTCCACTGTTACCGCTACTGGTCTGGATCCACTGTTACCGCTACTGGTCTGGTCCACTGTACCGCTACTGGTCGGTCCACGTTACGCTACTGGTCTGGTCCACTGTTACCGCTCTGGTCTGGCCACTGTACCGCTACTGTCTGGTAACCACACACCTGCTATAACCCACACACACTGGTTAACCACTACACCTGCTACTAGACACACACCTGTATACCACACCACCTGGTCATAACCCACTGGTATACCACTACCTGGCTAGGTAACCACTACACACCTGGTATAACCACTCCCACTGGTATAACACACTGGTATACCACCTGTCCCACTGATAACCACACGCTGGTATAACCACACCGGTTAACCCACACCTGTCCACTAACCCGTACACACACTGGTTCCACTAACGCTATGCTACACCCTGCTATAAACCTCCTTACACCTGTATACCACACTGGTATAACCACACACACCTGGTCCAACCTGTGTATACCACACTGCTAGTCAACACATGTATAACCACACTCACACTGGTATAACCACACACCTGGTTGCCCACATGTTAACCACACACCTCTGGTTAAACCACGTTACCACACTGCTATAGTACCACACCTGGTACACACCTGGTAAACACACACACTGGTATACCACAACACCTAGGTATAACCCACACCTGGTATAA